CGTGATGTAATAATAGGGAAAACTGGGTATGGGATATATGGGAATTCTCTACTGTCTTTGAACAATTTTTCTGTATGTTTAAAACTGCTCTAGAACAGTTAGTTTTAAAACAGATAACATTGAATTATATGTGCTCACACATAAAGATTTCTAAAAGACTGTGCAATGAATAAACCAAGGTACAAAACAGTATTTACAGTGTGCTCCCATTTGCATTAACAATTATATATACATGTATATACACACACACATATATACATATATGTGCCAATTATGTGTATAATAGAAGTATATAAAAGTCCTAGATAGGCTGACAAGAAACTGGAAGTCCAGTAGGAGGGGGACTTCATTTTCATGATGTTCTCATCTGTACTTGAAATGATCTCTCTCTCTTTCTTTAACCACATACATATTTTATTTTTATAATAATGAAAAAATCTTATTTTTCAAAGGTAGATAAGTATTAGGATGTCATTATGTTAACGGTGTCAGTGCCTGTTGAACTCATGGTTAACGCTTTCAGATTCATGTTTCTGACTTACTTTCGCTTTCAAGTGCCACATGTGTCTCTTTTCATAAAGCAGTCCCCTGGAGATGACCTCTTCCCTTCTTCCCTTCCTCCCTTCCTTCTCTTCCTTTACTGGTTTTAACTTTTCATTATAAATTTTAAACATACACAAAGTAGAGAGACTAATATAATGAGCCCTTATGTACCTGGGGGTTCGAGAGTTAACACGTTATTAATTCATGACCAAGCTATAGCCCCACCGCCACCCATTCCCTCCTGCTACCACACAGTGAATTATCTGAAATGAATTTTAGGCATAGTGTAATTTCATCTGTCAATATTTTAGTATGCATTTATAACAAATGACCCTTCTTAGAAACAAACCACATTATCACACCTTAAATAATTAACGTTAATTCCTTCATATCATCAAATAGTCAGTGTTCAAGTCTCCCTGATTATGTTGAAAAAAGAAATTGTATATTTGGTTGTTCTAATCATGATCCAAATAGGAACTACACACATTGCATTTGGTTAATATATTCTTTTTTTTTTTTCCTTGCGTTATGCGGGCCTCTCACTGTTGTGGCCTCTCCCATTTGCGGAGCACAGGCTCCGGACGCGCAGGCTCAGCGGCCATGGCTCACGGGCCCAGCCGCTCCGCGGCACGTGGGATCTTCCCGAAACGGGGCACGAACCCGCGTCTCCTGCATCGGCAGGCGGACTCTCAAGCACTGCGCCACCAGGGAAGCCCTGGTTAATATATTGCTTAAAACCTCTCATTCTGCCCATTTTCCCCCTTGTGCAATTTATTTGTTGAAGAAACTGCATCTTTTGACCTATAGATGTTTTCACATTCTGGATTTTGCTGATTGTGTCCTTGTGGTGTAGTTTAACACAGGTTGGCAATTATTTCTTGTTGTAAAAGATGAGTTTTTTCCACTAATGTAAATACAAAAAGGTAACTCTCCTTAATTCTGGACACTGCTTGTGTAAAGAAACTCATAACATCATGAATTATTATAAGTCATGTAAAAGGCAGGCCTAGTTGAATTTCACTCACAGCTATTTATCCCGACGTAATAAAAGCTTTCTTAAAAGTCATCGTTCAAAACTGCCAGAGAATGGCGTTTTAAACACACTCCAAGCTATAAAGTGACAAGTAACATTCCTTGGAGGATGTCTTTTAAGTTATTTGTCATAAATATTATTAGGAAATAAAGGAAGGTTACTTGATACATTCCTTCTGCCTTTCAAACATGTTATTTGTAGAGAATGTAGTGTGTGTGAAAGGGGCTAAATTTTAGTTTTGAGATTGTTATGTGGGAGTCCTGGATAGAACCCTGGTGAATAAGACATTGGTTAAATGTCAGTGCCTCGCTCAGAACCAGGACTTGATACATTTTAATTGAATGAGTGAGTCTCCAGTTCAAATACATAAACATATAAAATGGGTATATACTTTGGAATAGGATAAAAATGACCTGAGAAAGTGAGCATAAAATGAAACAAGTTTTCATTTTTGTGGTAGAAGACTCTCATCAAGGCTATGAAAAACTAATACTGACACCTAGAGATTCTTTATTTGTTAGCTTTTGTCTGTGCTCATCTTTTTGTAATAAGAATAAATATTTTTACAGTTAGCACACAGTTATGTTTACTGTACTATAAAAATAGTAGAAACTCTGATAGATATGTAGTGACATATCATTGTGGTGTTAATTTGCATTCCCCTAATGGGTAATGACCTTGAACATCTTTTCATGCGCTTGTTTGCTATCTGTATGTCTTCCTTATTGAAATGCCTTTTCGTGTGTTTTGCCTATTTTCTAATTGAATTCTTTGTTTTTTTTACATGTTGAGTTTTTTGTTTTTTTTTTGTTTTTTGCGGTACGTGGGCCTCTCACTGTTGTGGCCTCTCCCGCTGCAGAGCACAGCCTGTGGACGCTCAGGCTCAGCGGCCATGGCTCACGGGCCCAGCCGCTCCACGGCATGTGGGATCCTCCCGGACCGGGGCACGAGCCCGTGTCCCCCCGCATCGGCAGGCAGACTCTCAACAACTGCGCCACCAGGGAAGCCCCTACATGTTGAGTTTTGAGAGTTCTTTATGTGTTCTAGCTACAAGTCCTTTGAGGGATGAGTGATTTGCAGATGTTTTCCAGCCTGTAATTTTTCTTTTCAACCTCTTCACAGGAGGTGCAGAACAAAGATTGTTAGGTTTGGCGAGGTCTAATTTAGCTCTCTTTCCTTATGTGGATTATCATTTCGGTGGCAAGTCTAAGAACTCTCTCTAATCATAGGTCGCAAAGATTTTCTCCTGTGTTTTTTTCTAAAAGTTTTATGGTTTTATGTTTCCATTTAAATCTACGGTCCATTTTGAGTTAATTTTTACGTAAGGGGCAAAGTTCAGGTCAAGGTTCATCTTTTGGCCGGGGATGTCCAGTTGGTCCAGAACCACTTGTTGAAAAGGCTATCTCTCCTCCATTGAATTGTTTTTACACCCTTGTCTAAAATCAGTTGGGCATATTTGCATAAGTCTATTTCTGGGTTTTCTATTCTGTTCCATTGACCTGTGCCCCTCTACCTGTACCACACTATGCTGATTACTATAGCTGTATACTAAGCCTTAACATCAGGAAGAAGGCTTCCTCCCACTTTATTCTCTTTCAGAATTATTTTGACTATTCTGGGGTCTTTTCCTTTCCATGTACATTTTAGAATAAGGTCAGCTGTGTCTTCAAAAATCTGGCTGGGATTTTTACAGGAATTGCATAAAACTTATAGATCAATTTGGGGAGAATTTATCTCTTTACTATCTTGACTCTTCCAATACATGAACACAGTATAGAATATACTTACACAGATATATACAAAGGAGTATATACTTCTTTGATTTCTTTCAATAGCATCTTATAGTTTTCAGCATACAGAATCTATACATCCTTTGGTTTTGAATCTTCTTTATAATCAGTTGGTTAATTCTCAAGCATTTCATGAGCACTTACTAATGAGTGCCAATACTGTGCTTGGTGCTAGAGATATAAAAATGAAATACAAGGCCTTTGAGAAGCTAGTGGGACAGAGTTTCAGAAGAACACGTTTGAACTGATGTTTTAGCTAATAGCAAAGAAAATAATTTTCCCCCTCCAAAATAATGCACTTCTGTGAAATTGGAAATATAGTGAAATTGGAGATTTATTATTTAGTGTTAAAGAAGCACCCAGTAGAACATGTTTGAGAGCACAGGCTTTGGAGCAAAAGGCAGACCAGAGTTTGAAACCTAGCTCAGCCTGTTGGCCATTTGACTTTGGGCCAGTTGCTTAAGCTTAAGAAGCCTTATTTTTCTTATCTGTAAAAAGGGGGGTGATAATATTACTGACCTCTTAGGATTGTCCTAAAGATTAAAGGAAAACATGTATAAAACACTTAACCACAGTGCCTGGCTCATGCATATGCCTTGTTCAGTATGGTTATTTTTATTGTTGATTTATTCTCATATATGAGGGCTAAGGAAAAAAAGACGAGGTAGATGGATAAATGGATAAAGGTTGAACCTGGGGTGGGAGTTGGGGAGGGAAGGGGGGTACAATGAAATTGAAGAGTGATTATTATAAGACAACACAGGAATTAGACTTTCAAAGAGTGCAGTTCTCTCTTTCTTCAGAAGTTTGTTTTCACATGGAGAACAGTAGGGATCAGTTAGCTTAAATTTTTAATTCTACTCTGCCTGATTTCTTCCTTCATACTAGATATAATCACTAGGCCCGAGAAGTCACTAAAGTGTTTAATAAGGTTATTAAATTGACTAACTGCTGCTACTGAAGCAATTTTCATAGGAAATCCATATGATTCTAGTTATGGAACTTGGAGCTGTCCTTTGTGGCTGACAGGCTGTCAACCTTCCTTTGAAGGATGGTGGGCAGCATCATGAGGGATGCGTCTAATTAAGAGATTACAGGTGAACCTTGGCTTCCTGGGTGTGCTATTCGTAGCTGGAAGTATCGTGAAACTTCACTAATTCCTACTAATTGCAGATTGGGGGAGGGGGGCCCATCTGAATTATAGAATATTTTAAAATAAATGTACTTTTATTACTTTCAAGTACATATTTTAACTCCAACTACACAAACAAATTGTTGTCTGGTACAAGTCTTAGGGGACTCAAGTTATTGGTGCTCTCAGAATGATTTTCAATTATTTCTATGTAAATAGGTGCTTCCGGAGTTCTTTAGGGTGCTTGAAAGCAGTTGATTCTCATAGACCTTAAACATTGCTCTTGTAGCCATGTGCTGTTAATTGGCACACCCTTAGAGGAAGCGGTTTGTTAAATTAAAATAAACTTTCGACCAGCTGCTAAATAACGTCATTAATTCATGGAGTCCAAGAACCCAAGTGGATGAGGATTTTATTTCAGTTGAAGTTTGAGCTCATCTTTTTTTTTTTTTCCTGAAGCCAGTTCATTTATTCCTGCAGGCATGCATTTATTCATTAAATGATATTAATGGACTGCATTGGGTGTGCCAGGCACTCAAGTCATGCTGGACAGCCTAAGCTACCCTAAAGGAGCTTAGCATCTAGTGGAGGAGGCCTGCAGGTAATTACAGTGCAGTAAGGCATGGTGAAGAGGGAGGATGCCCAAGGTCTGCCCAGAGACAGTAGGGGCTTGGAGTAGAGTCAAATTAATCAGACTGGGTGAATCTGAGGATTTCCAGAGGAATTCCAGAAGGATTTCTAGAGACTGAGTTGCCTTTTGAAAATGGATTGGAGTTAGCAGAAAATAAAAGAAAGAACCAGATGATGGCGATGAAGGAAAAAGCAGAAACTGGGGTGAGGACAGAAGTGCAGGCAGAGAGAACAGCATGTTCAAAGGCATGCAGGTGTGAAATTGCACGCTGTGTATGGGGATGTAAGCTTCGCCTTTGGAGATAAGGAGAGTGAAAATCATGAAAGACTATATTGTGCTAACTACAGAGTTTGAACTTGATCTTGAAGGTTATGGGGCAGGTTTTGTAGGATTTTCAGCAGGGAAATGACATCAT